CACACACACACACACACACACACACACACACACGTAAACACTAACCTGATTGGTGGAGGCGAAGTCAAGGCCTGCTTCTGGCATACCCAGGAACATGGTGTCCCCGTCCAGCTGGAGGGAACAAAAAGCAACAGCAATAATGTCAATAAACTATAAAACACAGCAAACAAAGAACAGTCAGCAAGGAGACAATAAGTAGAGATGGAGATAACGGACCGCTGAGTAGCTGCCAGTCGCCTGTGTGTGTGTGTGTGCCTGTGTGCATCCATCTCCCTCAGACACTGAAAAACCTGCTGGTCGTTAAAGGTTATGAACAGACTCACAATGACCACTGTTTGTAGAGCCAGTTGAGGCTCTAAATATTTTAATGAATAATTGATAGGGAATAATTAAAACTTTATCCTCTTAAAATCAACAAAACTAAAAGTGAAGGGGTCTGTATGCTTTCTAAAATCTTTTAGTCTAATTACAGCTTACAGTATTTAGTATCTCAGATGTCACGATCCACTGTTGCTTTATTGTGTGGTATTGCTGTGTTGCATTTCTTCTGAAATCCTATCTATACTACAGGAGGAGTGGTGATCTGTGGGGACCATAAGTAATTAATAAATGACTGCTCTCAATCAGGGTAATAAAACGCTGACAGATCGGATGGATATCTTACAGTCTAAACAAATTCCAGCTGGACTCAAAGAAAGAACCTCACAGTACCTTGTTCACATGGGATGACAAACACTCTGATGTAATGTTTGAGTGAGAGACAAATGAAATATAACAACTGATTTGCTTAATTTCTGTTGTGGCCACACTTCTACTAATCTGACCTGACATATCATCATGTAACTGAAATGCCATTTTGTTGATGGTTAACTTTGAGCTTGTGGATCTTTGCTTTTCTTGTTATTTATATTGTGTACATTGTTATTTGCACACGCTTACACACAACATGATTAAAACAGTCATGACAGATGATGTTCATACTCATATTGTAGCCATCAATGTTTCATTTTTGGTTTAATGTGAGTAAAGTCAGTGTCAAGTAGCAACTACAGTAATCACTGTTGACTTGTTGAAACTCTTGGAACAGTTTCATTCAGGATTGCCAGAACCTTGGTGCTACAGCCGTTTTCAGCTGAACCACTACAATCACATATTTGTCATTATCGGAGAGAAACGCACAATGCAAATTTAAGTTAACTGTAGTGGATGGTGGATTGCATTGTTTATCTGCAAGTGTTTGTACTGTTATTACTGATGCTGTATTTATGGGCAAACCACTGTACTTTCCTCCAATGATATTTGTCTTATTGTCACCTTCTTACAACATATCTTTCGACTGGTAGAATATAACAGGCCAACTCATAGCAATCATGGCTTGCACAAAAAATACTATTTTACAGGTTCTGCACAGATTTATTTTTGGTTCAAATGCTCAGAATGGATGAGAATTAGGGTGCACAAATATAAAGCATGACACTACTTAAATTTGATTAGTATTAGCAAAGTGAATTTAACATGGTGTGGCAAAGGATCACAACACTCAGAGTATTCGAATCCTGAATCCACATGTTTGCATTTTTGGTACTTTAACCTCAAAATGATTGAGTAATCAATGATTCTACTAATTTAGCTGAATATCAAAATTACAGCTATTGATTTGTGGCACTCGTATTAATAGCTTCAGTCTTAAAACAGCTGCTATAACCTTTACAAGTCAAACCTCAGAACCGACAAGAGGAAAACAAAATATTTGGGTCCATAGAACATATTCGAGTAACAATGGTGACCTGGGGACATAATCACCGTCCTGACAAACAACACACACAAGGACGTTTGAACAGGTGGGTCCACACACACACACACACACACACACACACACACACACACAC